CCACCCAAAGCACTGGGATTACAGGCATGAACTACCACACCCAGCTCTTAAAACCACAGTATTTCTAGGTCAGTATAACACACCCGCCCCATGGACTTACAGGTGTGGCAGAAGCTTGAACTTCTGGCTTTTCTCTCTCTTACACCCAGGCAAGCTGCAGCTACTGTTTCCTCCCTTCACTACGTTTTAGATTCTTTCCTTTTCATTCCTGTCATTACCGCAATCCAAGATTCCACTCATCAGACTGGTCTCCATCTTGTCTATGTTACTGAAGGGGTAACTCCGGAGGCAGCACAGCTGTGCTGGCCAGGCTGGAGGGGTCCGGGTGGAGGCCCCCAGCTGAAAACAATTCAGTTGTTTTTACCCAGGACTTACTTGCATATCTTGCCAATACATCAAACTCCGTGTACCTGAAACCAAACACCTCATTTTTGCCAACTCCGGTTTCTCCTAACTTTACTGTTTCTGACAATTACTCTGGTTTGTAAGCTTGTATCATTTTTGTGCTCCCTCTGCCACATTCCCTATATGTAAAGTATCATCAAGATTTTTTTTTTTTTTTGGGATGGAGTCTTGCTCTTTTGCCCAGGCTGGAGTGCAGTGGCGCGATCTCCGCTCACTGCAAGCTCCGCCACCTCCCGGGTTCACGCCATTCTCCCGCCTCAGCCTCCCGAGAAGCTGGGACTACAGGTGCCCGCCAGCACGCCTCGCTGATTTTTTTGTATTTTTAGTAGAGACGGGGTTTCACCACATTAGCCAGGATGGTCTCGATCTCCTGACCTCATGATCCGCCCGCCTCGGCCTCCCAAAGTGTTGGGATTACAGGCGTGAGCCACCGCGCCCGGCCTCATCAAGATTTTAAGAACATTTTCTTAAGCAAGCACAGGTCTCATTTTGCCTTCTCCCTAGCGATATATACTGAACTCACCGTTTTATACAATTACAGTATTTCTTTCTTTCTTTCTTTTTTTTTTTTTTTTAAATTTAGAGACCGGGACTTGCTGTGTTGCCCAGGCTGGTCTTGAACTCCTGGTCTTAAGCAATCATACTGCTTTGGCCACCCAAAGCACTGGGATTACAGGCATGAACTACCACACCCAGCTCTTAAAACCACAGTATTTCTAGGTCAGTATAACACACCCGCCCCATGGAATTACAGGTGTGGCAGAAGCTTGGACTTCTGGCTTTTCTCTCTCTCACACCCAGGCAAGCTGCAGCTACTGTTTCCTCCCTTCACTACGTTTTAGATTCTTTCCTTTTCATTCCTGTCATTACCATGCTAACGTACATCTCTATCTACCTTACTGTTGGGCAGGTATGAGTGGCTTGCTGGCTGCTCTTCCTTGTCTTTTGATCTGTTTCTACTTTGCTGACTCCTCAGTTGGGGAGAAACATTCTTCATCAATACTAGACTGTTATAGGCTATCCCTTGTCATTTCAAACTCTAGCACCAGATACTGTTCTCTGGTTGGTTCTTATGGGCACCACTTGCTTTTCTGGCTGAATACTAAATCTAAGGTAGGAATACGGCTTTTGTTTTACTAACAGTGTTCAAGCCTTGCTGTGAGTGCACTGCTAGACGGTCAGATCTCACTGTGAGTGCACTGCTAGACGGTCAGATCTCTGAGAATTTCAGAGGGTTCCTGTATAATGTTAAGTGACTAAACTTAATACACGTAATTAAAATCAACATCTCAAGATATCGATACAGTCTCCTCTTCACTCACATATTGCGACAAAGAGTTTTTGCTGCTGCAATATCATTTGATATTGGGCTGTTCCTGTCTCTGGGGTCTGAGGGATATGTGATTGAATAGAGTAATAAGTACCTTGAAGATGGGGTGCAGTCCTGGGAGGCACCGCATGGTGGCGACAGCGATGACCTCAGCCACCAGATGTGTGTTCAGCAGGTGGTACTGGAGCTGGTGCAGTTGGAAATCTGAATTTCGGACCCAGGACTTTGCCAGGAGCCAGGCAAGTGGGGGGTCCGAGGGCAGGAACAGTGTTGGGGTTGGAGAGCTGGGGTTGGGAGGCTGAATCTGGGAGAAAGAGAAATGATTGAACTCCCATTCCGTATATGACATTCTAGTCAGCATTCTCGAGGAAACAGAGATGACTAAGTAAGATTATTGCCTTCTAGGAGGTTACAGTCTGGCAGGAGGACTGCGAACCCTCCCAGCCTGCCGCTCGCTAGCTGGAGTGCCCTGATGTCAGGTGGAGGGCAGGAGGGGCTGGAGGAAGGGGGTCCAGAAGGAGGCCCTGTTCTCTGGTTGGGCCAGATGGTGGTTGGCGCTCAGAGGGTGGCGGAATGTGAAAGAGAAGCAGGAGGTGTGAGATTATTGACAGTTCTCGTCACCTGACTGTTAGGAATAGTGAGAGAAGGCCAGGTGCGGTGGCTCACACCTGTAATCCCAGCACTTTGGGAGGCCGAGACAGGCAGATTACTTGAGCCCAGAAGTTCAAGACCAGCCCGGGCAAGATGGCGAAACCCCATCTCTACAAAAGATACAAAAATCAGCCAGGCATGGTGGCGCATGCCTGTGGTCCCAGCTACTGGAGGGACTGAGGTGGAGAATCGCTTGAACCCAGGAGGCGCACGTTGCAGTGAGCCAAGATCGCACCACTGTACACCAGCCTGAGTGATACAGTGAGATTATGTCTCAAAGAAAAAAAAAAATTGAGAGACAAGATATTGAAGAGATGATGAGGGTTCAGAGTCAGAGGCCACAGAGAGATTAAATAGTGATTCTCAAAGTGTAGTCCTGAACTGGTAGTGTCAGCATCACTTTGGAACTTACAAAAGCGCAAACTCTCAGTTCCCACCCCAGACATACTGAATCTGGTGGTGGGATCTAGAAATCTGCATTTCAACAAGCACTTCAGGTGATTCTGATGCACACTGAAGTTTGAGGACCATTGGATACAGGATGAGAACTCCAAGAGGCCATTTTGACTCTTGAACAAGTACTTCTAGTTGGATGAGGCAGGGGAGACAAGAGCAGGGGAGACGAGAGTACAGGCAAATAGTGACATGAAGGCAAGTCTCACTGAGTGAGGATGGGGTTTGGGAGCCAAGAGCCGGGGGCTGGGTCCCTGGGAGCAGAGGTTGAGGTGAACAGAGCGCAGCGTTGCCGGAGAGGCCCAGGGCCCTTACCTGGATGACCATGGGCAGCAGTTTCCCGTTAGGCTCCATCTTCAGCATGACGAGGGGGGCAGCCAGGTACTGCTTCTCTCCTCGGATCACGTTGGCTGGAATTCCATCCAGAAGGATGAAGTCAGCTTCAAACAGGGAACCATTCTGGGGACAGGAGGGATGTATCCATTTTGAGAGTTCAAAGTCTACCCCCAGGGGGCCAGGGCAAAGGGCAAGAGATTTAGTCTGGCTTCTTGCCGTTCTCCTGTGTCAGTACCGGAGTCCTGCTGGGAGAACTAGAGCCCCTGGTCCAGTTCCTGTCATCTTAAAGTGAAGAAACAGTCTGGTGAGGATAGATGTCTTGTGCGTGGATGTGGTGGCAGATCTGGGTTTGGAACCAGGCCTGCTCAATCCAGTTGGCATCACAGGCATTGTAAACTGATCCCCTGTCAAATGGCCAGGCACCTTTCCGATCATTCCTGAATGGTGTGCGCTCTGGTTTTGGCTCCTATCAGCTCAGCAAATGCTCTTTCCTTCCCTATTCAAATCTCACCTCCTCTGCCAAATATTCCAGAGAGCTTCTCCTCGCTGCCCCTGCCACCACATACAGCACACACGTGCACACGCACACATTTTGCCTAGGCTTGTCCTCAGGACAGTCCATCGCTTCCAAACCCCGCTCTCTTTGTCTAGAAAGCCGCCCAGATTCTCTGCACCTGATGGCACTTCCTCACTTTTCTCCCTGCCCGTGAACACTGGAGTCCAAAACACTGCGGCCAGGGCATGTCACTGTTCCTGCTAACATCTCCAGCCCCTCGCTGTGTGCTGGGGATCCATTCTGTTTTCCCCTTCATGCTGGGAGCTCCTCATAGTTTTTTCCGCTACATATTTTATTTCTGTATTTTTCCAGCACAGGACTGCACCAAGGGGCAGCGCAGTACTGCAGTCTGCCTTCCTCTGACTCAGTTTGGTTTCTATCTGTCCGTTCTCACCACACTACTAAGGAGAGAACAGTGCCAGGCAGGGGAAGGAGAGGTACCTGAAGTTCTTTCTCCAGTTGAGACCGAAGCTCTTCCATCCCCGAGGGCAGCGCTAGCCTGGAGGGCAGAGAGGTCGAGCGTCTCAACAGCATGGGGTTGGCACCATTGACGAACTGGTAGCCGAACAGCTCATCATCCTGCCAGCACTGGTGAACCTTCTCTGTGGGGGGCGGTGGAAGGAGGATATATGTACCACAGCCTGCATATCCCTCCTCCAGAGTCAACCCCAGGGCTTCAGGTATATGACCCACCCTGAACCCAGCTTCTGAGTTTTCATTCTCAAGGCCTCTCTGAGTTGACCAGATATGATAAGGTCTCTTCTTGCAAAGAGTTACAGGGGACTGTGGAGTGTGATGAGTCATCCAGAGGGGCCATTAAAGGATTATGGAGACCTGGGGGAACCACTGACCAGCCAGGGCACTCTTCTGGCCCCAGAAGATCTGATCAAAGTCTTCTAGGCAGTTCCAGGAGCTCAGGAGGGTGTAAACACGTTTGAGGGCCATCTCCAGAGCCCTAGGACAGGTATTGAGGCTTAACTCATCAGCTGATCCCTCAGTTCCTCACCATCTACCATCATTCTTGGACCTCCCAGCCCTTATTTCACTCCTAGGTCCAGCCTTTTTCTCACCCTGCCTTCAGTGTCCATTCAAAGTCCAGCCTCTTCTCCTCATGGAATCTCATATTTGGAGGTAGATCATCCTTACGCTCTGCAGCGATGGTCAGGGGTAACCCTTCCTTCCAGGTGGCCCAGCTAGGAGTTGGGGACAAAGCTTCAGGAAGGATGTCATGGTCAGTGATGGGGGCAGGGGCAGGGAAGGGGTGGGACAGTGGTGGCAGGGGGAGTTTAAGGGGTGGGTGGTCACCAGTAGATCTGCTGTCTGTCTTTCAGTTCCTTCTCTCGATGCTTCTGGAACACATCCAAGGCATTGTCTCCTGGCAGGCGGGCTGGGGAGACATCAGGACAATTGGCCTCACGGCTCTGTCTGGTCCTATGCCCACCTCTTGTCCTCATCTCCCTGTGGGTAGCCGTATTCCATGTTTTCAGCCATGCACTGTTGCGTTTATCTTTGGCTTTGCCTCATTTGATTATCCCCCAGACACATTTTTCCCATCTTTGCCAACTTTGCACCCCTGCTTTCTCTTATTTCAGCCCTTATCCTTCGCCTATAGATAAAAACCTCCTGTTTGCCACCATTTCTTGCCCCTTCTCTCATCTTCCCCTACCTAGCCTTACTTCATCAATATCTATGGTTGGAAAAAAATCACCTTAATTAAGGTGATGAAATCTTAGTCACCTCTACACCTACGCCTACTGTCTACTACAAATTGCTTTGATTAATTTCACATCTTAAACCTCACCTGCCACACCTTCACCTGTCCTCAAAAGATTCTACATTTGCCTTTTTTTTTTTTTTTTAACCTCACCTTTCTGGATTTACCATCATAGTTTGTATCTATTGACTTATTCTGGCTCTTTTCTGCATTTACACTCACCTGTCTCAAAGTCATAGATTTGATGTTCCATCCCTACCACCCTCACTCGTCTCTGGATTCATCTCTCTTTTACTCGTTACCAGTGGTTAAAAATTCAGTATTTGCCATCCTCATTCCTCCCTGCCTGCTGCTGGCCAGTGCGCTGCTTGTCTTTCACGGGTGTCTTCCATGTTATTCCAACCAAACCAGCTCTCCAGCATCCTATGTTTGCTTCCCTTAGCTGTCTGCTCTCACGGGTCACCCACCCCCTCCTGTTCCATGTGGTCCCCTCACCTGACTTCTGAGTCACCTCGACATCTCCTTCCTACGTTTACTTTGCATCTCTGTTTTCCTGGATCGCTGCAACTCCCACTTTCTGTCTTTGCCTTCTTGGAAGATGGGATCTCCAGATCACTTACTCCCTGCCTCCAGCCTCAAGTGCAGTCTCTCTTAGCCTGTGTACAACTTTGGGAATTCATAACTCCTTCCCGTTTCCGGTCCAGCACCCTGGGTTCCCTACACTTCGCTTGCGCTGGGCCCATACATCCTCTAAGTCCGCTCCGACCGTCATTAGCTCTGTCCTCCTAGCCCCGCAGCAGTTCCCGGGACCTTGCGCCTCCTTCCCCGACGCCGCCTTCTCACCGGTGCCCTCGGGCAGGCTCAGGATGTCCTCGCCCTGCACCCAGCGGTAGCACGGGAAGGCCGCCTCCGCGCAGGCTCCAGGGCCCTGCACCGTGATGCGGTCGCAGAACCATGCGTCGTCCACCAGCCAGTGGTGTTTGCGCAGCCTCACGAACTGCAGGAGCCCCAAGTCCTCTGCAACGTCACGATCAAACTCCTCCTCCTGTGCGGGCCAGACCCAGGCCAGACTTAGTAGGAGGGACCCGACCGACGCCGTTTCGAGGACGGAGCCGCTCTCCTGTGCAACCTCAGTTTCTCAGGGCCGCCAAAGACAGCATCGCCTCGTTCCCGCCCACGCAAGATCTGCTCTTTGGGTCTCAGACGTCCGGAGTCAGGTGGAGAACGAGGGCCCGCAGTGCCTGGAGCTGATGCTGGAGCA